TCCCCCCTCTGCCAATCCCTCCACTGGCTTCCACTCGCCCAGAGGATAAAATTCAAAATATTAACAGTCACCTATAAAGCCATCCACAACTCTGCCCCCGGATATATCTCAGACCTTGTCTCAAAGTATCACCCTAAACGTCCCCTCCGCTCATCCATTGACCTCCTGCTTTCCAGCTCCCTTGTCTACTCCTCCCATACTCGCCTCCAGGACTTCTCTAGAGTCTCTCCCATCCTCTGGAACTCCTTACCCCAACCTGTCCGTCTATCTCCCACCTTGACTGCCTTTAGGCGTTCCCTAAAGACTCATCTCTTCAGGGAAGCCTATCCCACCTCAACCTAACCACTGAACCTTCACATTCTCACATAATTCATTCCCACAGCTACCTCATGTATCATTTCCCCCTCCTCTTTTAGATTGTAAGCCCTCAGTGGCAGGGCCCTCCTTACCATCTTGTCTTGAATTGTATTGTAACTGTAATGTCTTCCTTATATTGTAAAGAGCTGCGCAAACTGTTGGCGCTATATAAATACTATGTAGTAATAATAATAATAATTCAGAGATGATTTGAGGATCTTCAGCCGAGTGATACACAAATAAGTTACATTTTTCTTAATAGTTAAGGTACTTGAATGCATTCTTAAGATTTAACTCCTGAGTTCAGTGGTCACTTTAAGTGCTACTGGACATAGGTGTTTTTAGCTGCCTGCATAAGTGAGTGTAGACAGCTGCCTCGCTATGATGAACCAAGAGAGTCATCGCAAGTAGGAATATACCACTTTGTAGACTGGGAGCAGCTCTAGTGCTTATGCATACTGTGTTGGCATTCACCTGCTATTTTCTCTGCACCATTGGCTTCCACAGAGGGTACAAAAGCAGCCAAAAGTTTTAAGGCTAAAATAGTCATTTGCAATGTTGGTTCTCTGGTGATTTCTCCATTTGACCCCTTTAAATGGTCATTGTCAGAAAAATGATCGGTCCTAGTGGTTGTACAATTTACAATCTGTACAAAAAGGTTGCTGAGACCCGGATTAACTATGGAAGAATGAAAATGAGGATTAATAACGATCATCTATTGTCACTTTATGAATAGGCCCCTATGTCCTAAACTTCTTTTTTGGAAAGTATACTTATAGCATAGTAACATTAAAGATGATATCCTGAAAAGTCAAAACTCCCCTGATTGCTGTATAGTAACTTAAGGTGCCCATACACTGTACGATTCTCGTACGAGAATGGCGGGAAATCCCGCGATCGTACAATATTCGTACAGTGTATAGAAGGCGCGCGACCGTTTCTACTGTACGGTTGCACGTCTTCCGTCGAACAAGCAGGCTTGAAAACCCACCGAGAATCGTACGATTCTCGGCGGGTTAGTGGCCTGCTTGTTCGACAACTGCCGAACGTGCCGGTGTGCACAATGTAACCACAGAAACTGCTTTGAGTTTGATTTTACTTTGCCTTTGAGACTATATAGATAGCTTGAGTCTGATAATGATCCAATGACCCACTGTTTAATATTCTGGTGAGTTACATTAAAGAGACCCTGTCACCAGATCATTAATTTCGATGACAATCTTCCCATACGATTTAGACTTCAGCTGAGCGATCCATCTTCAGGGCCTGCTCACACGACGTCCGTTTTCTGTGCTGACCTGATCCGTACGCTCCTGCACTAAAAATGTATCCCTATGTGTTTTATGGGCTACAGTTCTCACGTGCGCAGTCCGTTCAGGTTACGACAGAAAAATACTGCATGTCACATTTTGTACGGTCAGGAAACGGTCTGGAAACGCAAAACGCGTCAAAAACACACTGCACTGCACTGCAGCTAACATACTGACAGCCCCACGCCAGCAAAAAAAATGTATTGATTTTTTTTTTAACTGGAACGCATCAAAAACGCGGCAAAAACACATAGCACCGCGTCTGCAGATCCGCACCTGATCCGGACCTGAAACTCATGTGAACAGGCCCTCAGAAGGGCAGAGGGAGATGGGTTAGCACAGAAATTAGCCACTCCCATAAAAGAAGAAGGCTAAGATAGATAGGGGGCTGAGCCAGAGAAATAACTCTTCTTGGAGTAGTCAAAGTAAGCATTTAGAATCCTTTTGTGATGTGCTTTTACCTGCAATTTTTAAGTTGGTGTGATGACAAGGGTCACTTTAACCACTTGCTGTCCAGCCGATTGCAGTCAAATGCCTGGACAGCTGACTCCTAACGGCTGGTGTGCGTTTATCAACATCCTTTCCGCCTCCTGCACACTACCATTTTTTATTTTTTTTTACATTTTGGGCACTTTTTCCTTTTTTATACAGTAAAAAAGCCCAGTGGTGATTAAATACCATCAAAACCTCTATCCTGAAAAAATGACACAAAATTAATTTTGGTACGGCGTTGCATGACTGAATAAATGTCAAAGTACCTCAGCGCTGAATACTGTAAAATGGCCTGGACAGGAAAGGGGTCCTCAAGTGGTTAAAAGGGAATTATAGTGTATTTTCAATAAGTGCACATTTTTAAGTTATTAGTGCAGTATTTAGACACTTTTTAAAATGACGTTCTCAGATGATACAAAACCTGTGCCTGGTAAATACTTTATCTGGTTCCTTTTAGAAACCTTTAAGAAGGATGGTAATTGAAGAGGTTGGAGGCGTAACCATAAATCCAGGAAATATTTTGACCGAAAGCACTCCTTGTAATTTGAATATTGTCAGCCAAGTTGAGGAGCCTAGTAAAGAGGATCTGAAAGTTCAAGAACAAATCTCCACATCTCCTGATATTCCCAGTGCTAAGATGATGAAGATAGAAGAAATTAGTGATGTGCCAACCCCACAGTAAGTTGTCAGTGTGTCCAAACACGTGCTCTCTTTAATGCTGTTGAGTTTGAGGAGCCAATGAGAAAATAATCGTGCTTTACATTTTATTTATATTCGGAAATCATCTTTTCATTTTTTTTAATATGGATACAGCCCTCCAGCTTCTCTACACACTACCTTGCTTGGGAGGTAGGGAACACAGGTGTGTTTTTGTGTAATTTTGTTGCTATCACATAGAGTGCTCACAGTTCTCCTATGTGATAACACATTAGTGGTGTCAAGTTCTCTGTAAGCACACATATGTGGTCTATTAATCTCCTAATGTCACCTCTGTATTCCAATGAAGCTGGTCAAGGTCAGATCAAGCTTGATCAGCCTTATCCGCAGCCATGAAATGGCAGATCAGAAACCGGAAGTGACATTCTTGTTGCTTCTGGCTTCATTCACCCTCCGCTCTAGCTGCCAGCACCCGCCATGGCCTTCCCAATTGCACGTAGACAATGTCCCTGTTGGGTTATAAGCCCAGGCCTAGATCTGCAAGGGCAACTAAAAGCTCTTACATGACAGTCTAACCAATTCTCAACTATGTAATATATAAGACTTCTTCTCGTTACATTTTGGAACTCTCTGTCACAAGCAGCGGTATCAGCAGAAAGTATTGATTCATTAAAAAAATTAGTTAGATACCTTCCTCAGAGACTGTTACATACATGAGTACAGGTACTCTTGAAACCAAAGACCACAAAGGGACTCGTACACACACACACACACACACAATGGACCTGTGTCTTTATTCAACCTCAAATACTATGGAACTCTGTAAGACTGCTAAAGAAAAGGCTCCTATGTGATAGACTCAACTGGTCTCAGACCCTGTTAAAATTTGATGCTCAAGACTTGTAAAGTAAAAAAAACTTCCTTTACCTCCCAAGAAAGCTAAATCCTCCTACATTTGTTATAACAAGATGAGCAGCGCTAAGAGTTCAATTAGCTATATCTCATACAGGTGACAGTGATTTAAACCAAAATAGTGCTTCCTTACCACATTACTTAAATTAGATACTAACGTTTTTAATATCCAGGCAATGTGATGAACTTTTAGTGTATCATGTCAAAACATCAATATAAATAAATAAAAATTGTGATATAAAATACCAGCTGCTGTATTAACCCCTTCGTGACTGACGACGTACAGTGTACGTCGCCAGCATCGGGATGGGTCTGAAGATGTTTAAACCGAACACCTCCTACATTTGTACCTGACACAGACACTGCAGCTCACAGCGGGATGGATTCAGCAGCAGATACATTGCCTTTAATCAAGAAAGCAGTTGATAGGACTAGGTGTGTCTATCTGATTATTGACAAGCTACAGGCTTGTGAATTAACAGTGACAGTGCTGATAACCATGCCCCTTTCAACGTCTTCCCATCCCACTGTAGTGCGAACAAGCGAGCACAGCCTACATGGGGATGACAAGGCCATTCTGAATTTAGGAGCAGTGCAGCATAATTGTCATCCATCACAGGAAGCTTCATTAGTTTATCCCTCGGCGTCCTCACGTCCTATAGACAGTGTATAGAACGTAATGACTCGGGGACCTTAGACTGCTGCAGAGAAGGGGGAGACAGGCGCCAGGGACCAGTATAAGAGCAAGCTGGCTTGGAGGATCAGGTGAGTACAACTTTTTTATTTTCCTACATACACCAAAACAAGCAGGCAAGGCTAATAAAAAAATGTTTGCCCTGGGTTCTTCTTTAAGTGCTACACAATTTTTTTTTTTTTGTGTGTAAATAAAAGATTTACATACAGTAACTGTTGTCATAGACTTTTATACATGTTGTCATCTTTTCATAAATATCTCCCATTCTAGCAGTGCTAGACTGTATCTTATCTGCAGCCCATACACCATGGAACTAGTTCTGCCATTTCAGTAAACATTTACTCATTATTCTTAAAGCACATCACCCTTAGTTCTTGGGAAACACAGTAACACAATGGGATCTGTTTATAAACAATTTGTAGAGCCATTCATATCTGTTAACGTTTGTTCTGCGTGAATAGAGGCAAAAACAAATGGTCTTGGTATATTTTCTTTTCCGGTCGAATGCTCAGCTCCATCTAATGGCCATAATGTGGTATTTAACAAGTGTTACATTCAACCTGAAAAGAAAATCTATGAAAAACATTTGTGTTTGCCTCTGTGCACACAGAATAAACGTTCACAGAGATTTGCAGGGCGAGTGGATTATAAATAGACCCTAATGTGTGTTGTTTTATTTTGGTTCCATTTTATATTTAGAAATGTATGTAATTGTACACATTAAAGTGCATTATTTTCATGCTTCCGGGATAATAGGAATTAAGCTGTTAAATGCCATTATACATCATTGCAGTTCTGCCTTGCTCACAAGTCATATGGATTATTACTATAATTTGTGCAATATTTTGTGCTAAATATAAACATTTTTAGAACGCTATTTTTAGAATGGAGGATTTGTAGAACATTGTGTGATTGCCACAGTAACAGAACTTGAAAGTCATTCACATGGATCATCCATTTAATTAAATCCATTTCTGCTGCTCTGCAGTCTGTGATTTTCCTTTGAAGTTCAGGAATGCCCCTTTTCTAATGAAAATGAGTGTGCTTTTATTAGATACAAAAGCTATACAAATCAGAAGAATGAGTGCCGTGTTTAGATCGAAGATGTATATTGTTTTATATAGACAACATCACAAAAAAGATATCTTATCATTACTTCATATAGATTGTATGAAGAACATTGGTGCATTACAGGTTGTTTACTGCTCCACTTGTTTCATCGAAGTATGAGCTGGTCTTTGAATCCTCACTCTCATATATAATTCAAAATTCAATCTGTAGATGTTGCCGTTTACAGTGTATGGTATGGCTTCAGCTGTCATTATTATTGTTTATACATGTGATGTCTAATAGTTCTATATCATTTACATTAGCAATGCTAACTGAACATTTAGAAGAATATTACAGTCCTCTGTGGCAGCATTGTTATTTTTGTGTACCTGTTTAGTTGTGCATTGTATAGACTGAATCATTGAACACAGATGACGAATTCACTTTAAATAACAAGTCCACCCAAACATGGTATTATGTTTGGATTTTTCCCTGGGATCTTAAAGTGGAACTTAATAGCAATTGTAAAGATTTGCTGTTTCATAGGGTACATCTACAAATGTTATTAGTGCCAAAGCAGTGCCCTAAAAATGCAAGTTTTGTCTTGAATCCCTCCTGATAAATATCAGTGCACCTTTTGGTTGGTGAGGGTGCCTGGACACTCCTGGGGAGAAAAGACAACAACATGCCCCTTTCACAGGAGACACATATTTGTGCCACGCCACAGATTCCACACTCCACCTGCATGTCTGCCCGCTGTTATATCCTCTGCGACTGTTGCACATATTTTCCTCTTTCATACCCTCCGCAACCTCTTCTAAGTGAACTAGCTCCTGTTATAACCTCCTCACTCCTGCACATACTGCCTGTTCTAATATCCTCCATTCTCCTCTCCTATTCATTCTTCCCCATCATACCTTCTGCAATTACCTTCTGTGCAATGATGACCACTGTCATAGCCTTTTTTCATACCCCTAACACTCCTCTTCTGCACATAGTGCCCACATGCTTCCTGGCTTTATAACCTCAGCCCTACATGAACTGGCCCCTGCCATGGACTTTACACACCTGTCTTGCACATAGAGAGGTACTGACCTGAGGCAGGAAATGCAACTGAACTACAGAGTGGTAAGGAAAGTGGGATCGCCAATGTGCTCTCTATAAGGCTCATCTGCCATGGTGGCAGATGGGACCTGTAGTAATGTTTGTAAACAATCCCAGGTCCAGATGATGGGGCTGTGTGGGTGGAGCAGCCAATTTTAAAACGAGATTCCCCTTGGAAGAATGACACCCAACACAAATCCCACATACCCAATAGCTTGTGGTGCAGTGAAAAAAAATAGTGCATGCATATTGCTATTGTGATAGCATAAGTTGCAGCACAATCCACGGCCGCCGGGAGTTATGCTGGGGTGCCATTGCGATCTGACCATGTTTCTTGTCCAATAGTGATGTCTAATAGTTTCATATAGTTTCAATAGTTTCATCACCCTAAATGTTCAGTTGGCATTACACCCCAAGTATGGGTGTAATATGAAACATGGTCAGAAAGGTGAATTTAGCCTTTAGAATTCTAGAATAGCTAGAATTTCTGTCAGCTTGTTATTATTGTCTGTTTCCCTAGAAGCTTCAACAAAGACATTGTCATTATTTGAATTAAACTGTAACTTTTATGCAGTGTAATGTATCTATTTATCTTTTGCAATTCTTAGGAGCAATATAGACAACTATGTTCTGCCTCCAACACCACAGCCAAAAGCAATAGATGATACGCCCCCATTATTGCCACCCTTGACCACTGACATTCCAGGTGTCCCTACAAATTCATTTCAGCTTGAGGCAGATTTCAGGAGACTGAAGGGCAACCAGGAAATGTTATACATGTACATGAAGGTAAGAAAACATTTACTGTTTTTGTTGCACGATTCTTTCTTTAGAAATAAAAAAAACACCAGTCGTAAAATGGTAAAGCTTTATGATAAACTTCAGCCTTCACTTCAATCTTGCAGAGTTGTACAGGCTTCTCTCCTGTACTGAGGGCACATTCACACCACATCCAAATTACCTCCAGCCAGACTGTTTCTGGACCCAAAATGCATCCCAATGCTATTTCTGGCCTCTGTTCCCACCAGTGCAGTCCATACCAGACCAGAAAAATACTTCTTGTCCTATTTTGTCTTGTCTGGAATGCACTGGAATGCATCAAACTGCATCAAAAACGCATGGAACGCACCTGTAAGACCAATTTATGCAAAAAAAATAAACACATTCCAATTGCGGCAAAAACGCAATACACTATGTTCCAGATCTGGTCCGGAAAATGGTGTGAACCCAGCCTCAAGGTGTTTACTCTAATTTCACTGCACACTGTCAGCTTTTCATAGTGTGCATTAGAAGCTGCAGCATGTCATGAATGAAAGGGGTGGGCCAGGAACAGGCAGCTGGAGAGGAAAGTGCCATGGGTTCCATCCATCCGACTTGCTACCAATTCTAATGCGCCTGGTGGGAAGCTCACAGTTCTTTTAATCATGGAGGCTCAGCATCACACGCAGGTTTTATCTGGAGCAGTCTGCATGCAAATGCAGTCTGCCTAGGAATGCCCACTCCTACTGGCTGATGCCCACTCATCAATCACAGTGATATTTGCATAACCACTCCCAATGCCAACCCAAGGACCATAATCAGGGATTATGGTCCTTGAGAGGAGTAGAGATGCAGAGTGATGCTATTTTGTAAGTTTGCAAGTCCCTGCCACTATACCCAAATCTCAGGCAGTTCTGTTCTGCAAAGCCTTGACACTTACTGCACAACCAAAGCCCCCCCATCTGCTCTATGGTTTATTGCTATGACTTGCTGGCCAGTAGGAATGCGTAGGTGGTAGACAAGCTTTGCCACAACTAAGAAATATTTTGGAATTTGCAAACCAGTATGGCCTGAGTTTTCGGGCATAGCAATAGGAAGTTTCAGGTGACTTGGGAGGATTATGAGTGCGCCTAAATGTTCATTTATTTTGTTGCGGTTCCTTATTAATTGTAACTTCTTTTCAAAATGTTGGTAATATATAAATATACAACTTTTAAAAAGTTATGTTATGCTTTCTTTTTGTTTGATTGTAGCAAATTGAACCTTCTTCATACACTAAAATCTTCCAAAAAGCTTTAGATCCAGATGTGTTTAATGAAATGATAAAGATCCTGCGGCTTAAATACATTGAGTGAGTAGAAATTTTATCTATAGTAACACATCTTTTTTTTATAAATGTTGAAGAATGCAATTTTATGAAAGTTTGTTTGCAAGTGATTATATATTTCTACTTACAGTTAGTTATATTACATACCAGTAAACATAACCACAGTTTTGTGGGTGTGAACAAACCATGCACTGGCAGAAGTGTGCCCATTGCTCCTGATAACCATTTCCAGCTTTCCATGCTTGGTGTTAAATGTTGTAATCCATTTAGGCATCACATAGACTGCAGATCATTATTACATATCTTAAAGCACTGTTTGTAATAATCAATATACCGCATTCACGTAGATGCGATTTGCCAATCATGCAACTTTATGATTAAAAGATCTGCAACAACTTCACATTTTTTTAATATGTACGATGATGAAATCATTTCCTGTTCGATTACAGTGGTTTGAAGTATGAATTAGGTGCCTCTTGTCTACTATGCAAGTGCAACACTGTTTATGTAGGCATCTAACAATATAAAGCTGGCCATACACTATATTATCTGTTTGTACAATCTTTTAAACGTACCAGAATATGAGCACAGATTAAGCAATCCGTTCAATCTATATTAAATCCGGAATGCCCTAGCCTTGCATTAGTTGATGGTAGACTAAGACTGGCCATACACCTATCAATTTTTTTCATTCAACCCGCAGGCTGAGCGAAAATAATTAACCCGAATCCTCCATCAACACAAACAGCGCGTCGATCGAGGAATCCCCGCTGTTTACATTGTATTCTGACAGGTGTCATCGTCACCTATCAGAATACCCGATCAGAATGGGCAGCTCATTGGCTGCCGGCTCTGATTGCGAGAATATTTTACAGCAGGCTCCTTTGATCAGCTAATCGAGGAATGCTGGCTCAAAGGGAGCCGACAGCCCCACACACTGCAAATTTCGTCCGGTACATTAAAAACTGCCTGAAATTTGATCAGAGTATGGGCACCTATACAAAGGATTTGCAGTGTATGGTCTGCATAAGCTGCATATGTGAAATCCTTATTACCGACAGATGCTTTAACCCAAAATCTCCAAATTACTAAAACTTATATTGATAAGTGATTCATAGTAGCATAACAAGTGTATTTATATTCTCCAGGAATGAAGATGCAGCTAAGGTTTTGGAAATTTTACAAAGAATGTCTGAGATTAGGAGATTTGATATGGCAGTGATGTTTTTGTCAGAAACAGAGAAAGAAGGTAAGCTCTGAATATTTAGTTATGCATGTCATTAAAATACAGCTATATTGCCAGCTCACTGCTGGGATGTTTATTTTATATACTTAGCAATGAATATGTTAATGTACCATAAATTACTGCACATATGTTGTTGGGAACAATTTCAAGTACTTATCTGTTGATCATGTTTTCTTCATCTGAATGCTGATGGAAAATAGCACCACCTGACCATAAAGCCTGTCATATAAGGCTGGGCACACACCTTACAACCATCGCAAGACTTTTGTCTTGCGATGTTTGTAAGGTACTTTAAAAAACGTACGATCTGCCTATGTTGCATAGGCAAATCGTACTTGCGATGATAGCAAGCCACGCCCCCTGAGGGGCGGGCTTCCGATGACCGCAATGCCGAACGGACAGTGTGCACTTGCGCACACCGGCCCGTACGGCTGTTATCATACGGACATGCCACAAACCCGCCGAACATTGTACGATGCTCGGCGGGTTTTCGAACATGTCCGTAAGTTTAAAGTCGTGCGACCTTACAGTAGTAGAGGTCGCCCGGCTTCCACACACCTTACGATAATCGTACGATCGCGGGATTTCCCGCGATTATCGTACGATTATCGTAAGGTGTGTGGGGACCTTAACTCTTTATAGAGAAGTCCTGTAAATGAGCATATAAGGTTGTGACAAAACAAAGTAATCAAAACGTGATAGCACGCAAAAATTACATAGATATGTGTACATAGAGGTGAAGCTCCATAGAGAAGACAGAGCAAATTGATAATATAATAGCGTATGTACAATACTTTTGAGTCTCATCTTTATAAATGTGGCAATTTATTGTTAGGGATTGATGCCCCACTAGAAGGAGGGATAAAGTGGAACTCTAGGCAGATAGAAATTACACAAAGTTCTGTAGCTCTGTAATCATTAACACCTAATTGAATGCATTTTTGAAAAAATACAAGCAGTGTAAGTATCTGTTTGGACATGGTGTTGGCCTTATGCAGGCTTTATATAGCATAGCTGAAGTGTGAGAGGAAGCAGTAGCACAAGGAGACATTCAGTGTGTATGCTGGCAAGAAGCATGCGTATATAAAAAGAAAGCAGAGTGACAGGGAGATGAGTTCATGACTAAGCTGCTTCTCCTTTCATTGTTCAGTAACAGGGTGCATTCAGTTCAGGATGACCTGGTCTCGGAAGAAGTGTGTTGAATAATATCTGAGGATACCTAGAAGCAGTAAAAAATACTGCAGGGGAAATTTCTGAATTGAAGTTAAATATTGCACCAAAAACAGTTTTTTTAATGTTTTAGATTTTATCCTTTTTGCTGCCAGAGCCATTAAAAAAAATGGCATACATGTTAAAATGCATATTTTAGGCCTTATGACTACTTTGTCTCCATGCAGAAGTTGGGAGGAGTTTTCTGACATTGTTCAGGTCAAACTGCAGGGTGATTTGAGCAGACAAGGGAGTTCCCAGCGCAGGGCATTAAAACTACAGGGCAAGGAACATGTAGATTAACATAGCAGGTTCCCATTACCCTCCACCAAATAAAACGCTTTCTCTAGAGTTCTTCTTTTGCCCTTTCTCTGCCAATAATGTCTCCTATATGTCATAGCAATTCCTTTCCTACCTGGTCAATAACGTTTGGACTATAACCTGGCAGTCGAAGGATTGAAAGAAGCTCACAGCCGCAACAGTATACTATATATTCTAGAGTTGTCACAAAACTCACCTTTACTGACAGTAGCAGTCCCCCCAAAAAAATTATGTTAAAGCTGAACTCCAGACAGATATAGATAACAAAGCAATGCAGCTCTGTATTCATTTATACATCCTAGCATTTTCCTATTTAAAAGAAAGTGGTGTAAGTGCCTGAATTTAGCTTGGCTTCCTCCAAGTCCCTGTAAAGCAAAGCTGAGAAGCACCACAAGGAGCCAATCACAGGTGCTGCAGCCAAAGGAGCATGCTGATAAGAGGAAAGAGCAGAGTGATGAATAGATGAGTGACTGGACAGCTTCTCCTTTCACTGTCCAGTCACGGACTTGGGATGGGGAGGAGACCTGCAACTGCAGTTACTGCAACTACTTTACTGCAGTAGGGAGAAATCGTTGCTACCTGTTAGAGCTGTGCTGTGTGGCCGTGCTGTGCATATATCGGGAACGGATGGACAGAAATACAAATCCTGTGGCAGTTTAAGCAGCCCCATATATGTATTTTATAAGGGTATTTAGCTGTTTGCCCGGAGTTCAGCTTTAATACATTTTTATATTGTTTTTTTTTTTTGCTTGATTGATAGTTTTTTGTTTGCTTTTTATTAACTTCTGTGCTGTTCATTTTTCACAGATGTGCGTACCTTGTTTACTTATATAGAACAGTCACTAAAGACAAGTCATTCTTGTGAAGCCCTAAAAAAGAAATATGGCATCTGAAAATCAAAATCAAAACAAGAAATATATGTAAAAGGCAGTTAATAAGATTAAAGCTTTTTGGTAAAAAAAATGATGGACTCTGTATAAATCCTGTACAAAATAAATCCATTTTTTTGTACCTGTGGTGATTATATTTAGTCATTTTCTGTTTCTACTAAATATGCTATTTTGTATGAGTTGCAAAGAATCCCATTCAGGCATTTCAGAGAATAGAAATACCTTGCGCTGAAAGGTTCTGGACTGGTGAAAGTAGTATATTGAATTAAAATCAGTGATACCCCGCAACAAGTGCAAAAAGATGCAGCAAAGAAGTGACAATGGTAATAATTAAATTCTGCGTAGAGGGTATACACAACCCTAGGGAACATATAAACCTAAAAGAAAAAATACAAAATTAGCCTGACCTGGTACAAGGCAAAAATAAGAAACCAGAAAAGCAAAGCAGCTAAGAGCTGCCCAGCAACCAAGGACAGGTAATGGATATTAAACTCCATCCAAAACAGCTGTGGGACATCTGCTGGAGGCCACTGAAAGCACAAACGTTTAAGGTATGTACCAAAAGCAAGTGACACAGGGAGCATCAGGTTTGGGAAAGAACCAAACTCAAAACTTTATTAAAGAACATATAGGTAGTCAATGACCTCAGAGAAAAGAATTTTACATTGAGTACATTGTCGTACAGTACAGAACACAGGATGGGTTATATGCAGCTAAATTCAGGTTATTGGACACTGACAAAAAAAGCTGCAGGAGCATTCCCAGTATAACCCCTCTCACAGCAAGCCTCACTTTTTGCTGTGCTTAGGTGATGGCCGTCTTTAATGAGGTGATCCACATTGCTCTGAACTGGCACTTAGACAATGGTACTTAGACATCCTCAGACTCCTGCTAGATTCCTCATGGGTACTCCTGGATCATCTGGTTCTAGTGTCCCAAGAGCTGAACCTGCTTCTCGGTCACTGGCTTTAAAGGCATGGCTATTGAAGCCCAGATCTGGAAGGTAGGGGGCCTGTCGGATTTGGTCATCCCTAGAAGCAAGGATGTTGACTTCATCGAAAATCTACCATAGTACCTGGAGGGCTTTCATTGCGTGGTGCATTGCTAGGAAATTCCATCCTCCAAGTTAGCAACCTTTTTACTGTATGAGCATTTTCAAATGTTACATATGGACAAAGTTCTTCTATGGCTTAAGTCCTCCTTTTTCCCTAAAGTTGTTTCTTCCTTCCACCTTAATTGGGACTTGTCTTTCCTACTTTATGTCCTGCTCCAAAACATCTCAAGATAATTTCTCTCCATTGTCTTGACAAGGTATGCACTGTGAGAGTCTACCTCTCTGCTACCGCTTCCTTTCAGCAGTTAGATTCTCCCTTTGTGCTCTTTGAAGGTTCCCATAGAGGACTCCCTGCCTCTCACTGCACTACTGCTAGTGGATTTGCCAACATTCTGAGCATATAGTCTGCAGGATAGGGTTGCTCCAGTTACTGTTAATGCACACTCTTCCAGATCAGTTAGTGGTTCTTGTGCTTTTCAGCATCGGGCACCTTTTTCTTAGATTTGCAAGGCTGACACCTGGTCTTCTGTTCACATTTGTTATATTTTATCAGGTGGATGGTCAGGACTCCTCTGATGCCAGTTTCAGGCATGAGGTGTTTTAAACTGAGTTCTATCGAGCCCTTTTCTTGACCCGTTGTTACATGGGCCTGTCAGAGTTTTTTTGTTTTTACTGTGTTGCCTACCTTTCAGATGGTATGATTTGGGATGTGATATGGTTAAGATTACAAATCTTTTGCCCTGTACTGTACAATTATGAAATCCTATTTTTCTCTCTAATGCATTCAGAGAACCCTTCATGTCATACTGCTACCTACAGAAGGATTGCAAAAGAAAACTGTAGGCCAGTCTTGGGTATAGCCCCCTTTAGATTGTAAGCCCCCACGGGCAGGGCCCTCCTTACCATCTTGTCTTGAATTGTATTGTAATGTCTTCCTTATATTGTAAAGTGCTGTGCAAATTGTTGGTGCTATAAAAATCCTGTATAATAATATAATAATAATACTTCCAGCATACCTCAGTTTTTTCTAGTGTCCTAGGATGATGGACATCTGCTGATTCAAGGCTTTACCTACATTTTTTCTCAGTAATCAAGATTCCTCACTAGGTTGCTGCAGGTGGTCTCCTTGAGGCTATGCAGCACAGTTGTCCTCAGCCTTGGCTTTTGGTCTTACTGTAACTAGACCCTGCTGGACAGGACGTTGTAAGATGAACTTAAAAGTGACCCTCGGGCACTGGGCTATGCTTGAGCACTTCCCACACTGCTTCTGGTAGAGTTAGCTGTGGAGCGTTTTCCAGGTATAGAGTTTGCATTGCCACTGCGCTTTCTCTGAAGTCTCACTTTCGTTAGTAGGCTGTTCGGGCCAGGTACCAGGAGCTCCCTCATTTCTATTAGTCGCTGGGTGCCTACTTGTATTGACTATTTCCTGCTGGCTTGCCATGGAAGGGCAGTCCATCCAGTCTTTCCCATGAGATATTGTTGAGCTGAATCCTTTCTTTCCTGCATTTGGGTCTGAACCAACCTTTGGCCATTAGTACCATAAATGACCAAATCTTTGCTCTTGACATTCTGCCTTTTACCTTAACCAAAGCATTGTCCTTTCATCCTTGGGTCCAGCTACAGTTCGCCAGAAGGAGATCTCTCTCCATTGTCTGGATGTAGTCCAGGCTGTTAAAGCTTATCTCTCAGTCATGTCTTCTTTCAGACAGATTCCCTTTTTGCCATTGTGGATGGGCACAAGAAGGGTGTCCTGGCTTCTTGTTCCACTATTTTTAAGTGGCTCAGACAGACCATCTTATGGTCTCAAGGATCAGGTTCCCCCCTTTCCAGTTAAGGCTCACTCCACTAGGACTGTGAGTGCTTTTTGGGCATTTCACCACCAAGCCTCTGTTTACCAGGTTTGTAGAACTGCCACCTAGTCTTCTGTACACATGTTCTCTACAATGTACGTTGTACCAGGAGCACGATTCTGCCTCATGTAATAATAGCTTTGTGTGTAAGGTCCTTCAGGCAGCTCTTTGAGCTGCAGGCAGTCCCCTTTTCTTATTCCTGTGGGGCCTGTTAGCTGTTTTTTTTGCCTGTGTTGCCCACCTGTCAGTTGGACTGCATTTGGACTTTGTATTCCCTTTATATTAATAATCCTGCTCTTGGTACTGGTTTGCTAGGCTGGCCTACATTTTTTTGTTTGCTACTGTCCAGTCCTCCTGTAGCAGGCAGTATAACTCTTAGGTTTCAAGACCTATTCCAACCTTGGTGACCTAGTGCATTGAGTTACCCTTTTTTTTGTGCACTAATAAAATAAAAAACCATCATGAACCATGAAATGTGGTATTTCGCTACCATGTGCTATGGTGCACTGCAACACATGTGCATTGGCACTGTGTTGCCTTAGTGCATTGAGGCACCATTCATACTGAATGGCACTGCACCATGCTTAACATCTTTCTGTGTCCTTCAATTGAATGTATGATACCTCTTGCATATCTGCACATTTTCCTTCATTGTGTACCTGAAAAGGTATCATATGTATAAGGCCACTTAAGAAGCTGGCTGGCCCTGCATCACCATTCAGCGGAGCCAGAGCCCTCTCCACCCACTGCTTATTGGTTTAGTTAAACGCTATGAACAGCAGCCCCGTTGTGTGCATGCTTGCTTGACTGCTTTGCCAAGTGCAGTGCAAAGCATCTCAGTTTGCCTGTGTCCTATTTAGATAATTTGCACTGATCTTGGCAAATATACGTTACCATCTCTCACACGTACCTCTGCAGCCCTGTATGCAATATGGGTGCATGGTCCATGGTGGTACGGTCTAAGCAAAGAAAGCCAGCACTCCAATGTGATTTTGTAATGTTTACGTTATGAAACCATTGTCATGTGAACCTCAGCTTTTTATGAACATACAGCCCCCCCTTATCAAGGTGCCATAAATAAAACAAAGTTTTAATTCAAAAGACAATTGTTTCAGAGTAAACACTGCAAAATAATATGGAAGTGACGTATTGAACAAAAAAATAAAGTCTTCTGAGTGCACCTGAAAATTTATTGTCAATTATGTTCATTTGGATATCTTTTTTTTCAAAAGCTGGACATGGTTAAAATGTCTTTCCAGCCAACACTCATACACAGGAATGTTGATTCCCAACGCCTGGTAATAGATTTCATTAATTCAGTACACTGTTATAGATCTTTATTTTCAGGCTCCCTTTAAATTACTCTGCAGTAAGGAGCTCATAGCAACAGCTGCTGTCTCTAATGATTGGTAATCTTTGCTCCAGTCAGAGCAAGGAGACACTTGAGGTAGGGCAATTTGACAGTTGGAAGGTTCTGAGAGGAATTGGAGCTCTGTGGTGACAGACTGAGGAGCGGGCATATTACGTTCTGTGGTGTAGAAGAAAAATCATCACAATGTATTGACTTTTCAGTGTCTTCTGCTCTGGGGGAGTACTGCTTGCTGTGTTCCGGGGGCTTCAGAGATTACCCATGTATGGAGAATGAGAGGAGAAAGGCATCCCCAATGTGTCGGATGTAACCCTTAACACAGTGCAGCTTTTGTTTTACTAAGGAAAGAGACATGAATGTGAAGATGATTTTATTGAATCTGCTGGTAAATTATTTAAAGCCTTTTGTCTGAAATAGAGTTTGCACATCCAAACCCATGGAAATCCCTTTTTCCCCAAAGATGTGAAGTCAGGTACTGGTTACAGAAGAGGATAACTTAAGAAATGATAGTGTGCAGAGTAGGACCTGAAAGTACTAAGTAACCAAAGTTCGTTATCTGAGAATGGAAAATTAAATTTTCCTACTTCAAGAAAGCCCTTTATATGGCTTGTATATGAGGCTTGCAGAGGAATAAGAGTATTGTGGGAGCAGTTAGGGAAACCTGACTCCTGATAAATACGGATGAGCCTCAGGTTCTGGTCAACCTAAACCCAAGTTGGTTGCAGTCTGCTGAATGCATGAATTATTTGGCAAGTTTACATGCTTGCTGAACCTCCAACAAACCAATGATGCTGTGTGACCCACTGGTTGACTGAGCAGCACAGTGTCATTGGTTGTTAGGATGCAGACG